ATACTATGTACCAATGTGTACTTATACTGTGGTTACATACTACGTGCACATCTAGTTACTATGCAAGTACACAGGTTGGTATTAGGGCCACTTAATATAAAGTGGGACCAAATATTCATTTTCAAAAATGTTTCTATTTCAGAAAGAAAAGAGAGGGATTGTCATGGTTAATTTTTATAATGACTACGTAACATGCAAACAAGCTGCTAACATCTCAGATGTTGCTGGTGAGTCCTTTTGAAAACAACCTCAGTGCCTGCATACTGTAGCATTCCTTCATTGAGCCAGTATGTGACTCCACTTCTCTATATGACATTCAGATCACTTTGACCATATCAAGAAAGTGGCTGGTTCTAGTATCATTGGATTTGGTGGCGATTATGACGGTGTGCCAAGGTAAGCATGCTGATTTGTGAATAGACTGCCTGCATTCCAATCTAATGACAATACTGCTCAATTACATTGCGGTACATTTCACATTTGTAAAGCATGTGTATTGTATACAATGAGAATTGCCTTTAATTGTTTAAGACAAGAAATAGGACTGCATTCATAACTATTAATAAATAATGCTATGGTTTGAACAGGGTGCCAGATGGTCTAGAGGATGTATCAAAGTATCCAGACCTGGTGGCTGAACTTCTTAGGCGCAAATGGTCAGAGGATGAGATCAGAGATTCTCTGGGACGAAACCTGCTGAGAGTGTTCAGCGAAGTGGAGGAAGTAAGAGCAATTCACACACAGTCAGGAATACATTAGTTTCAAACTCAGTATAATATCAAAATCTACTGCCCTGTTTGCTCACTGAACCTTTTTCAAAAAATTCTAAAAAGTAACTTTTATGTTTTAATAGGTAAGAGATCACCTAAATGGTACCAAACCAGATGATATACCCATCCCTCTTAAAGAAGTTCAAAATCCCTGCAGGACAGACTTTGGTTATCAAGATACATCCAGTTCAACATGCATAAAATCTTTCTATCCGCTAGTCTTGATTCTGACACTACTGAACAAGTTATTATAACCAACCCCTCAGTTGACTGTATACTCCTGTAGTACTGTTTTTGGAGTATGCAAAGGATCTCTGATAAAGGCCTGTAGAGAAATTCTGTAAGGGAACATTTTAGAGAGCAAGTGTTTTTAAGATAAATTAGACATGTAATTATTTGAAAATTGCCAATTTTCTGTTCAGTGTCATGCAAGTCAAACGTGTGAACAGCTATTTTTTATTATTGCTATTTTCCATATTTTACAAAAATAACAAAGTCAAAGTCAAAACTATGAAATAATACAAAGGGAAGCATGGGCATTATGCAATGACTGAAAAAGCAAACTGAAAACATCAGTATTTGTGCCCTGTTTCTATATTTGTCCTGTTAGATTTGATGGTTTTCTGTTGATTTATTAGAGGTGAAAACTAGCAAATTATAGGCAGCTTTATTATTAAATGATGATACTGACCACTCTGTATGACAA